CACAAGGACGCAAGAACTAAAGCTGCTGAGGGTGCAGAAGCACGCCCTGGCTTGACATGGTTCATATCATATACAGGAGATTCGATTTTGGTCAATGGTTTTCAGCACTCCACTATAGAAACTGTTTCAGCGTTAATGGTCTATCAACAAGTAGAAGGAATACCTATAAGTCGTATCTTCAGTCTACAACCTATTGTTAGATGTCTCAAAAATTCCAATAACTTTTGCTTAGAATAGTAAAAGTAGTTTTAGAATCATTTTAGATTTGAATTCCTTCATGTCAAATGCAGAATGCAGTCACTGTGTGTTTTATTAATAAGAAAAGGAAAAAAAAGTTAAAACTGTTTACTGTGACGCAAAATATATGATTTTTAAAAGGAGAAACATTCTACTACGGCCTTATCAGGCAACAATAATTTCAATTTTAAATGTACCGTCGGGTTTACAAGTCATCATCAAGAATGAGTCAACAATAACCACATCGTTTAAACGTTTTTCCAAGTTGACGACGATATTATGATGTAACAGCCAAAAACAAATACGTTGGTTTAAATATATTCCCAAAACACTATTCAAGAAAACTTTAAGCAGGATTTAAAGAAGTGTAATGTGAGATTCTTCTATCCTTCATTTAACTACAATTCTTACAAGTACGCATTCCAAAACTTTAAGTTCTACCGTCCTGTGTAAAGGGATTTAAAAGGAGAATTCTCCAGGTTTAAGGGTTAATTGCATTTCATAGAAGCGGTTTTCCAGGCTCCAAGTGACCTTTGTGCTACTTTCTCCGTCGTTTCAGTATGATGGCCATGAATACGCACTATTGCCTTAACCACTTTAAAGCAGATCAACAGCACAAAAGTCCACTGGAGCTGTATTGGGGTCTTAATTGATACATAGTTGAGTGTTATTGTTATGATTCTAGTTTTCTCAGCCATCTTTTCCACGAAAACGTTTCATTATTTCCACACTTATGTCCAAGCTTGTGAACTTCGTCATCTTCAAATCTTTATTATCGTGAGATATACCCAATTTCGTCACAAGAACTGCTTCGGTCATTCAAATTCTTGATTTCGTGTGAAGTTTCCAAGCAAAATAATAATAATACGTTAGTACTGCAAATGTATTAAATACTTAGGCCAAGCGGTTAGTATGTCGGACTGTGAATTCTAGCCGTTCCTAATTTTGAAGTCATAGGTTAGAGGTGAGGCATCTAGTCAACATCACCTATAGCCAACTCTTGTCAAACCGAATAATGAGATTTGACCTATACTCCTATAACGCACCCACGAAATTCGGAGCACGATTTTGGTTTTTGACGGCAGTAACGAGCCAAGAAACCTGAGATAATTTAAAATAAATGGGTTTCGATGCCCATTGTGTCGCTTTGGGCTTAACAACAAACAAATAAATAATTCACATCTACTAGCTAGAAGTCAGAAATATACCCGTTTGCCAATCAATAAATCAAGATATTAATCAGTTCTTGTTGATGAGTTCTTGTGTTGAAAGAAAGGTCCCCTGGACAATTACATGTTATGAACAACAGATAGATTTGAAATGCTTAGTTTGTCACACACTTCTTATTCGAAATATTTGACAGACTAATGAAAATAATTATGAGAAAAGACCATAAGCATGAAAAACATCTTTGCTTCGACAGCTTAGCTATTTAATTCTTTGTTCCTTTGTAGAACTTAGCCCAAAGCTACATAAAGGCATCGATACTTCTTGCACACTGAAGTTGCCTATTAGTTACGCAAAATGACAGTCATAAGAAACTAATCATTGTTTAACTTTTAGTTTGGTATTCCCTCACTTTCTATTTTATTTAATTCAGCTCAAGCTTTTCTAAAAAGATCGTTTTATTGATTGAAAGAGTCGCGTTAATCATTAAGCAAGGAAATGGTTGCCTAGTGTGTAATTTAAGAGTGGGTATTATTACAGTTAATGAATAAAATCAGTTGTTAAAGCTTTGTAATATATAAAAATGTTTTCAATATGTTTTAATTCACACAATATCTGCTTAAATCAAACGTCCTCTTTGTTGTTATAAACTTACTTACAGTAAACTCACATTAAAATTATATTAAACGAAATAAATGTGACCTTTCAATCAAAACTTGAACGTTTTTCAGCTAATATTATGGTTACTTATAAGATGAATCCTACAAAAGCTTGTCAAGACATTACGTTCTTTCAATCACTAGCCACTGTCTCCCCCTTTCCTGTGGTCCAACGTGGACATACCAAATTGTAACCTTTTTTTTAGTGGAAGCCATTCATCATTGTACATAATTTGGAGATTATGAAGTACCCTCATGTGGAATATTAGATTTAAAACTTAAGTCAATTCTTTAGCTACATTATGTGTTTAAATTGTGAAAACAATTTCGAAGCTACGATATTATGGAAAAGTCTCCCATGTTAACTAGTTGCCTATATTGTGGAAACATGACATAGTTTTGAAACAGTAGTGTTACTACATGCTTCTGCATGAAAATTTGAGAATTAACAGGAGCTACTAGGATAGTTTTGTTTGTTTGTTATTAAGCACAAAGCTAACCAATAGGCTATCTATGTTCTGCTCACCGCATGTATCGAAACCTGAGTTTTTAGCGTTATGGACCTTCAGAGCCGGTGAAGCAGCATGGGGCTACTAAGATAGTATTAAGTTCGCTATGGTTTCGTTGATCGTAAAAAAAAAAACAAAGACTGGGGAAACGTAAGAAACTAGTGTAAACCAACAATCTGTTAATTGGCCATTTTTACAGTGTTTGGTCTTGCGATTCCAATCTCCTATTTGTTTCTGCTTGTTTTTGTTGCATGAGGCACAGTTTAGAGAATTGTAAAATATTCCCTTATGGAATTGATATCTGCAGGCCGAACTATCGCTTTCCTTTTTTATTTTGTTTGCTTTTGCTTTGTATGTAATGGTAATTAGAACTCGTCTAAGAAATCAGGTGAAGTTTATATTAGCCGCACATGGATTTGATTTGTTCTATATGACAAATAATACTGGAATTTCAATTGTGGAATCATCTTTGAAAATTTTCAGAAGAAATAAAAAGAGATGTTGTTGTTTGTTATTAAGTACAAAGCTACACAAAGGGCTATCTGTGCTCTGCCCACCACGGGTATCGAAACCCGGTTTCTAGCAGTACAACTCCGCAGACATACCACTGTGCCACTGGGGGGGGGCAATAAAAAGAGAGGCAGTCAAGAACACGAAGCCTGTGCGCTTCATTGTCCATCTTTGTCTATAATTAATTATATTTGTCACAAAACTTTAGTATTAGGCTTATAATATTTCTAACACTAATTGTTTATCTACTCCCTTGGGGATTTTCAGGAATTAGAAGTGTATAATAACAGTATTTCAACCACACTGTGTTCGCCATATCCATTACTGACGACGCGTTTCGATCAATCCAGAGCTCGTCATGCAACCTGGTACACAATGAACACAGTAGTGGTTAGAACACCATTTATATAAACAAGTCAATTGTTACAACGACAATTGTTGTGGTGTGAACGCTTTTCTCAAGCTGGTGAAGCAAGATAATAATCAATTATACCTGTCATAAAACATTAGTTTTAGGCCTATAATATTTTAACACTAATTCTTTATGTAGTCCGGTAGGGACTTTCAGTAATTAGAAGAGTGTATAATAATAGTATTTCAACCACACAATGTTCGCCATATCCATTGTCGACGATGCATTTCGATCAATCCAGAGCTCGTCATGCAAGCTGAGACACAATAAACACAATAGTGGTTGGAACAGAAACTATATAAATCAATTGTTACAACAACAGTTGTTATGGTTTTAACGGATTTTTCAAGCTGGTCTTCTCGTCAATAGCATTAATTGAC